CCATCAAGATCTATATAATTTTGTCAAGGAACAGGCTCTGCTTACGGAGTCGAATGTTCTTGTCAAAGAGGGATCGCTTCATGTGAAGCTCCCGGAACCAGCCCCAGAAGACACCAAGATCTTTCAGACCATAGAATCTGAGTTCCAGAAGCTCGGTAATGACCATAAGGCTGTCTGAATCTGATGCAGAAATACCCGGCATTTTCTCTGGCTGTAATTTCTGTTTAGTGGCAGTATTGAGACGAGAATATATCCTTCAGCTCCTTTTATCTCTAGATCTGCCTGCATCAGCTCGATGCGGGTTTTGTAGAAACAGACCAATTCCTTGGACTGGATCTCGTCTATGATTCTGATATATAGAGTTCAATCATTTCCACTACATTCATTTGCGAATACAGGGAAGCAAAAACACAGATGTTCATCTTGAATATTCCTCCGGTGAAAAGAACTTCCTTAGAGTTTTGAGGCATGTTGTGGTTTCTCTCCAGAGTTCTTCGGAATCTGGGGGGTTGAATAATTTACAGGAAATTCAGAAAACAGGGGAAGATGAAGAATTCAACCGACATTGTTTATCCTTCTTCACGTAAAAAAAACCCCCCCTCAGAGATCTACCGACAGAAACCAGAGATGGTACACACCAGACACGTGCTTTGTGAGGTTGTACCCTTTGGGGGTTTGTTTGTATTCCTTCAATGATTGAAAGGAACCCTGTAGGATGACCACAATAAGATAATGTAATGATTGACTAGTCTTCTAAGACTTTTGTATGCATAAATCAATTTATAAAGTATGCAATGATGTGGTGGACGGACTTCCAAGTCCACACATTCTGGACTGTACTTAGCCACCAAACGTAAGGCTCAAAACTAAAACTGCAAGTGGGTGCATACACACATACTTAACACCGCTTCAATGCTCCATTGCGCCACCATGGAAAGAGAAGATGACCGGTTCGAACCGCTTTACCAAGACAGCCGGTCTGAACGTGGAGAGTGATGGCCTACCGTGTTTTTGCGGCGACCGTCTCCGGGTGCATATGCTGGATCTGGTTCTACCGAGTGAGTCACATACCGGAGGTTGGTGGGAACCGGACCGGTTTGGTTAGATTGGTTTGGTTCGGTATGTTGGGTGCTGAGTTGTGGTTCGGTATGTATTGGTGCCTCACGCAATCTCTCCGGTGGAACCCGGTTCGCCGGCAAACCTTCAAAGACAGACTCTCCCGGAGGTTTGGTCTCTCATCATCTCCATCTTCTCATAACCATATATATATATATATATATGTGTATGATGGTTGTTGTTATGATGGTTATGTTGTTGATGGTGGTGAAGGTACGAGAATGATCTGCCGGCTCTGGACGTTTTCGTGTGTACGGCGGACCCAGAGATAGAGCCGCCATTAATGGTTGTAAACACTGTTTTATCAGTTACAGCCTTAGACTACCCGCTGGAGAAACTCGCCGTCTATCTTTCCGACGATGGCTATTCCGAGTTAACCTTCTACGCTCTGGCCGAGGCCGCAGATTTCGCGAAGCACTGGGTTCCCTTTTGCAAGAAATTCAAAGTCGAGCCCAGATCTCCTGCTGCTTACTTCTCGCGCAAGAAAACCAGTGACTACAGATGTGATTCCGAAGATGCAGAGGTTGAGAAACTATACAGAGAAATGGCTGATCGGATCGAGACTGCCGAGAAACTCAAGCGAGTTCCTGAAGATATGCAGTCCAAGTACAAGGCGGGATTTTCGCAATGGAGCCTTGATGCTACTCGTCGTGACCATGGGACTGTTCTTCAAGTAAGTCTTTTTTCGTTTACAGAAGTAAAAAGGAGGGAATTTTTTAAGTTCTTGGTTAGGGTTAACAGTTTGTACGTTTGGAATCTTTTTGCTAGATTTTGATAGATGGAAGAAGAGAAGTGAAAGGAGAAGACATGGAAGGCAACGAGTTACCGACATTAGTGTACATGTCGAGAGAGAAGAGACCTCAGTATCCACATCACTTTAAGGCTGGAGCCATGAATGCATTGGTAAGCTTTCTTCATTAACTTCTGAGAGATAACTGATCAAGTTCACTTCATATATACACACTGTCCTGTTACTTGAGAGCGTTTTTCGTGATTGGAATTTGCTTCTACGTTCAATGTCATATTTTTCTTTTCATGGTGTTGGTTACAATTTGCAGATAAGGGTATCCTCGAAGATAACTGGTGGGAAGATAATACTGAACCTGGACTGTGATATGTACGCAAACAGCTCGCAGTCAGCACGTGAAGCGCTCTGTGTCCTCCTTGACGAAAGACAGGGAAGAGAAATCGCTTTTGTGCAGTTCCCACAGTGCTTCGGGAATATTACCAGCAATGATCTTTATGGAAACAGATGGCAAGTTGGAATTGACGTAAGTTACAAAGAAATCAGAAAATAGACTGAATTTGGATGTTGGTCTGCTTCTTACTTAAATGGATTCTCTTCTTTTTGTTCTTTGGGATGTGAGAAAAGGTGGAGTTTCCGGGCTTGGATGGAAATGGAGGGCCGTTATACATTGGAACCGGTTGCTTCCACAGAAGGGATGTGATATGTGGAAGAAGATATGGAGATGAGGAATCTGAGAGTGTTTGGCAGACGGGAAACCACAAGAAAATGGGAGAAATATCAGAGGAAGAGATCAAGAATCTTGCTAGCTGCACTTACGACGAAAATTCTCAATGGGGAAAAGAGGTAGGGATTGAAGCAACTCTTCCTCTTTCAAGTGATCATACATACATATATACACACACACATCTAAAATCAGACCCAAGTCCTATATCACTTAAAACCATGAAACTGATGGTTCATGAGCAGATGGGTTTGAAATATGGATGTCCAGTAGAGGACGTAATAACCGGTCTGGCGATTCAATGCCGGGGATGGAAATCAGTGTACCTGAACCCAGAGAAGAAAGCTTTCGTTGGAGTGGCCCCAACCACATTGAGTCAAACACTGGTGCAACACCAGAGATGGTCTGATGGTGATTTTCAGATTCTGCTTTCAGAGTACTGTCCACTTCTGTACGGACACCGGAAGATCGGTTTGGCATTGCAGCTTGGATACTGCAGCTACTGCCTCTGGGCTCCAACCTCGATTCCAACACTTTACTACTCGCTTGTCCCTTCTCTTTGCCTCCTCAAAGGCATTCCTCTCTTCCCAGAGGTAATACCTTTCTCATTTGGTATATGTATACACACAAATGAAAGGAAATACTCTAGAATCTGATTCCACTCAATCTGGTTTTGATATTGAACACAGGTCTCGAGTTTGTGGTTTCTGCCATTTGGATATGTGATTCTTGCGACCAGTGCGTATAGCCTGGCAGAGTACCTCTGGTGTGGAGGAACTCTCCATGGATGGTGGAATGAGCAAAGGATGTGGCTTTACAAGAGGACAAGCTCTTATGTTTTTGGGTTCATCGACACTATCCGGAAGCTTCTACGGGTTTCTGAGCCAGCATTTGTCGTCACATCAAAAGTAGCAGATGTAGAACAAGCGGAAAGATACAATAAAGAGACAATGGAGTTCGGAGTAGAGTCCCCGATGTTCACTCTTCTCGCAGTGATTGGACTCGTAAACTTGTTCTGTTTTGTGGGTTCGGTGAAGAGAGTAGTAGTTGCAGATGATTTCCAGACAATGTGGCTGCAGGCTCTGTTAACAGGGATTCTCCTTGTCCTAAACTGGCCGTTGTATGAAGGGCTGTTCTTGAGGAAAGACAAGGGGAAGGTGCCGACGTCAGAGACAGTTAAATCGGTTGTCTTAGCTTCATTAGTCTGCACCTGCTTTGCTTTCTTGTAAGGAGTTCGCACACTGGATTGGGAAAATAAATGTTTCAGCTACAAAATTGGGGATCAGTAGGAAACCTGGTTGATTCGAACCCTAAATTCCACGGTTGATACGATGCAAAAGTCTTTGGCAACAATACCCCCTGAAATTTGAAGGGGAAACCAAAAATAGAAGACCCAAGAAGAAACAAAAAAGGATTTCTTTACAAAAGCTAAGGAAATCGGGCCCTATACTGATTTACAACTATCAACAGATTACATATAGCTTCAGTTTTCGAATCATAAAACTCTCTTTGCTCAAAGGGATTCAGTCTCTATCTTTTACCCCAACGCTTCACAAAAGAACAAAATGGCTCAGTCTTTTGTTCAGCACCATCCCTAGCATCCAAAAAACGTGCAGCCTGCCAAGAAATTGGTAGATCATGAGACTTATCCATTGTGTATCTTAAATGAAATGATACCCTTTGAAGTATTCATAGCCAGGGTTTTAAACCCACCAAGAGCTGCTTGATATATGATATAGAAGAGAACTGTCATATATATTGGTTCTGACTAAAATAAGAATTAATCTCACTTTATTTCACTAGCTGGGGAAGTTGGAAGATTACTTAATACTTACATGTACAAGAGGAGCCAAGAATGGAGGATGGGCGGTTTTTCTCTGGTTCTGAAGGTGGCCGCGCATTGAGGAGCGCAAGAAGAATCTCTTTTCAAGCAAACCCAAAACCTTCACTGGCCTCGTGAATGGCAAGCAGCAGACGCTCCTGAAGTTGTTCCTTCGATGAATACTCCGCCAGGTCCAGCTGGTTAAAACTGCAGGAGAGCAGCAGGATAGAGGAGATGATAGCGGTGAGACCCAAATCTTCGGTTTTGGAATACGTTATAAGGTTTGTGATTAGTATCTAACCATGTGTGAGCTGATGGTAGCCGCTCAGGAGCTCCATACGCTTTGTGGATTTGGAATCTTTGAGGGCCTGATATACCCTGCAGTGCTTTGAAGCCCTCTAACGGAACCTGAACCCACAAGATATGCATCACGCACAAGAGGTTTTTGTTTCTTTCCAATTATATATGGACTAATGATAGAAGAGAATCAGAAGGCACATCAGACAAACAGGAAAACCAAATACAATTCATCGAACCATGTTTTTCAAGTAACACTTAGAGAGAAGGGTAGCCGGTATTTATAGCCTGTGCCTAATACGTAGCAAGACTAGAATGATCTAAATCAATATTCTATCATATGTATTTTTATAGTTACATGATGTGAATGGAATTGCTTTGCTTTACCTTTGATGTTCCAGTGACAAATTGCAGCAGTCTAGCCGTGTCTTCCTTGCTAAAAGCTTTAACTACCTCCCAGAACCATTGAACAACGGTAGATGCCGCTGTGTAACCAGTGTACTCGGTGTTTGCTATCAGATCATTCACTAAACAAATGGAAGCAAAAGGAACATTTATCACAAAAATTTATATGAGCAAAGAGATGCAATGATATCACAATGGGAACCAAACTCACAATCAATTTCAGGTAGCCCACTAATTAGCAGCTCAAGCTCTTTATCATTGAAAATTGATATGAGGTTCCGTGGTATCAACTCATTAAAGCCTTCAAGGAAGGAATTGATTTGAGGCCGAATAGCGTTAGTCAATATGTGGCTGGCTACAAGGTCAACGTATTCATGCTTTGTTTCTTCAGTCACCCGTATGTTCCGTCCTCCAGGTTTAAGCTCGTAGTCAGTCACCTTTTACACACACAGCCAAAAAAGAAGAAGAAAAAACTCAATAAGACTAGGGAGAAAAAGAAAACAGCATGTAGGATACCGTATGAGAAAACCACATGCCTCTGTCTTCTCATAAAGGATGTGTTTTTCCTCATCTGCATCTATACTAAATGTGAGGCCCAGTATGTCGTTAACGTCATTCTGGGGAAACAAGTGACAGAGAGGGATTAGAATTAACAGAGAATAGAACTCTGCAGTGCAAACTCTATTTAGGCTTATAAGAGTAAAAAAAAAGGGAAGAGAAACTAAAGGAAGATCTCCAACCTGTAACAACCACTTCAAATTCTTGTAGTAATCAGGATCAACCGCCTCTATATCATGGTAAGTCACCTTCACACCGAGTATGTGTTTATAGAAGGAGCGTGTGAAGTAAACATCCAAAAGCTGCCCATCGAACAATGCCTTTGCCACCTGCAGGAAGGGAAATATAAAAGCTATTATATATGTTGATAAAGAATGCACACCTGAAACAAGATACTAAAAGGGTCCTTGTATATTACCACACGACCCACAAACTTGAAGTATGATAGATGCTCAGTTTGGTATACGGAATTGGGATTCGGTTGGAAGGTTGCATTGTTACCAACAGTTGTGAAGAGCAGAGCTCCCTTGTCAAATAAAACCCTTGACAGCAACTGATACCATTCTCTAGTCAGACCACCGGCATCAATGCCTTCCTCTCCTTGAAATTGCACATTGAACCGTCCCTTCAGATCCTGTGGGGAACGCATACGCAACTGGTTGTATGAATCTTCCAATACATAAGCACGAGGGACACTGATACGCAAAGGCCCAGAAATGTGTTGTTCATGCTGTTGCCTTATCCTTGACCTGAAATATGCTTTCTTGTTGTCAAAGTCAATCAGCCTTGGTGCCTTCAACATCATAGAAAGTGACTTCTCCAACAAACTTGGATTTTGTCTAAAAAATGCATTTAGAAGACGCCTATGCCTCTCAGCAAACTTTGCAAATGTAACAGACCCATCATGCTTTTTCTGAAAATCTAAAATAGATTTAGAGTTGACAGGAGATGGTCCATGAGCAGAATCCTTAACTTCTCCAGCTGTCACATTTGCAAGATCTTGCTGATTTGTTTGGATTTTTTCACGGAGCAAAAAGAAAGCCTCGATAAGAGGTAGGAGCCTCTGAGTCCCTGGAGGAAGAGGGGATGAAGGAGAGATCCCTTGGACATGATCTCCAGGGTTTACACTGGACATGGTTGTAGGCACAGTATGATCTAGCTGCATCTCAGCCATACTAATGCACTCGCTCAGTTCTTGCCACAAGGGTTCTAAGGCCACATTTAATCTCTGCATAATACCTTGTTGCTCCTGTTCTCTTTCGCTCCTGCTTACCATGTTACTATTATCAGTTGGGGAAGTAAGCGCACCAAGGACCTGCAGTACACGCAAAATTGATGCTCCAGCCATGGAACCCGTGCTGAGACCTATCTTTTGGGTATTCTTGAGGATTGTCAACTCATTGACAGTAGAAGCACTCAAACCGCTTGCTAGTTCTGAGAGTTCTTTCGTGAAGAACTTGCGGTGAGCCGCAGTAACTGCAGCCATTTTCTTCAGCACCTCTCCAGCTAGCGAATAAATCTTATCTGATAGCCTATTAAGTTATTGGCACATGGTCAGTCAACAAGTAGATGGGAACATAAATGGCACTAAAGAGAAGAAAATAACTGTTTTCGTACATCACATGAATAAAGATTAAAAAATATATAGAAATCATATGGACTGAAAGATGAAGAATAGTTGTTTCATACCCCTCACGGCCAAGAAGACTGCAGAGGTTGCGGAGATCAGACTGTGGCAACTGCAGGAAAACATTATATGTATCAGCAAGGCTCTTCCTTCCTGAAACAGATAACTCTGCTTCATTTCCTTTGTTTTCCTGGCAAGATTCAGGATCTTTTCTTGTTTCTCTTGAAGCTTCCTCACCCACGGGTTTGTTTACTGAATTCTCAGGTAAGCCTGATGATGGTGACCAACCCTCAAATTTTGAGGCTGCCGTGTAGACAATTACTTGAAGCAGGCCCATGACCTAGACATACAGACCACGGATTTGCTAATGTAGGAAAGTAATAAGAATAAAGTTCCCAGCACTAGCTATTTTCTACACCATTTTGGACCTTCTAGCAAGATCACGTCTATTATTCTATGAAAATCATGATGACCATACCTGTCCCAGATGCGTTGTGCTCTGCAAGAACAGTGGCTGATTAAGAAGCTTCAGGAAGAGAACAAGAGGTATTTCAAGATCCCAAGATTGTGTCACAGATGTCACAGGATTAATTCTCTCTGTAGCTTTCTCCTTGCCCTTGTCTTCACCCCCAGAGGGCTTTGAGACTGACGATTGAGATGCAAGTGATGAATCAAAGTAGAACAACATGTCAGCAACGGCCGAATGATTCGTTGCCAAGTAAGTCAAAACCTCAAGCACGCGGCGTAAAACTAACGGAGGAAGATCTGTGTCAGAAGTACAAATTAGAAATATAGTTCTGGAAGCTGGGATGAATAATTGACAAATAATTCGATAAAAATGTATTACCATTCAAGAACTGCGATCGACCATAAACAACATTTGATTGAGAACCATACAGCCTCTGCGGATTAGTTATTTCCAACCTGTTTACCGATGTTTCAGTTGCTGGCCTTATCATATCCAGTAAAAGTTGAACCAATTTTGCTCTTGTAACACTGTGTGCACATAGATTTAACAGAAGTCTCTGCAGAGGACCTTTTCCCAAAGGCTGGTAACATTGAAAACATCACAATGTTAGAAAACAAAAAGAAGCATAATACAATATATTAAGTACTTCACAGTCGAATAAGCATTGAGATCTGTTGGGCTAACACCAAAAGCACTAATTTCTTTCTCAATCCCTTGCTAACGCTGACCGTATGATGAGGGCAAAGCCACGTGAAAGGTGGGATTTGAAGGGATTCAGAGAAAGAGATATAGGGGAAAACTGTACTATACTAAAATACTACAAAATAATTTCACAATTTGCCAACGATACACTACTTCTTTTCATCGGCTTTGTAAATCCACTATCTTTCTGAGTTCAATAAGTATCTCAAGTGAAGAGTTTTACCTGGGCTAGTCGTAAGAGCTTGACAAGTGATTTCAATGCATCGGCATTCAGAAGAGGCTCCCCTTCCATCTCCTTTACTTTCAAGCCACCTGCAGTAGACGAAACCATCCTCTGACCAATCGTGACTCCTACATCTCTGTCCATTCCTGTCAACCTATTGTAGCCCAAACCATTCCTTCGATTAATCAGCCTGCTACTGCCAAAACGACTACGAGGTTGATAGTGAGTCATTGCTCGGCCTCGGAGCATCTGTGCCTCAGCAAGCAAAGTAGAAGGTAAAGCTGCTAAAACTGCTTCAGAAGAAGTTAAGAGAACCTGAAATAAAGAAAACATATTTTGAAAACCTTATACTAGTTCAGGGGTCAAGCCAGCTGAATAAAATACAGATGGAGATGCAAACCTCTTCACGTAAATCAGAAGGTAAAGTAGCTATAATTGAGGCATTATCCATGTTAACTGGCTGTCCTTGCGACTGTTGTACTATTTGCTGTGTCCTATGTTGAGCTAGAACTTCTACTTGGATATCTGGGGGAAGGGCAGCCAAAAATTCAGGATCTATGTCATCTACTGGAAGCGGTGCATAAGCAGGAGGCTGAACTGATTGAGCTTGCTGTGAAGCAAGGACTTCTGCCCGCAAATCTTCAGGTAAGGCCTCCAGGAAAGTAGGATCAATAGTAATGGCTCCAGAAGGCCCATCGTTGGAAGTATCTTGAGCAACTTGTTCGCCTTCCATCGCAACTTGTGCGGCTTCCATGGATAAGAGCTCGTTCGTATTACAAGCCAAATGCAAAGGCTGCACATTTTGATTTTCCTCTGCACCATCACGACTCATATCTACATCTGAACTTGCTTGAACTGTAGAAGCAAGACCATTATCTGGAAGAGACATCCCAGTAACAGATACATTTTGTATATTGGCAGCACCACCAGGTTGGCCTTGGGCAGCGGAGATGAGAGGCACTGGGATGACGTCCTCTTGTCCATCAGCAGCTCCATTACCTTGGTTGTGGATGACCATCGGAGGAACTGGCTGGATAGAAATAGGTTGATGCTGCCCTGGACAATCACCTGCATCTTGAGCAATAGGAGAAGCTCGGTCAGCTTGATCTTGAGATGCACCCTGAACTGTTGCATCAGGTGCATTATTAACACTGTCATTGTTATTTGATCGTCCCTGTCCTTGGCTTTGTTGGTGGCTGCTGTCCCCAAAAACATTTTGATTGTCATCAGTTGGATGAGCATTTGATTGCCGCTGTTCTTGGACACCTGAACTATGGGGCCGCCTTCCAATAACTGTGCTAGCTTGAGCAGAAGCACACAAGTGAGAAATGAACTGGTCTTCCACTGCCTGAACAATTGAAGCAGCCTGGGTACTTGGTTGTGGATGACCATCGTCAGTCCACCGACCATCACTTGTCCATCTTCCCAATGAATCCATACCCACAGAATAATTAGTCAAAGGTGGAGGTGCCCCACCTTCTAAGCGATCACCAAAAAGATTACTCCCAGCTACTGAATCCCTGGATAAATTCCCAGCAGTTGCTGAGAGTGAGGCCATGTTGGCAGTTTGCAAAGGTCTGGAGAAGAGTGGATGCTGAAAACTATGCGCTTCTGAACCAGACATATCAAAAGGCCTACTTGTTTGATACCGTCGCTCAAAGCCTAAGGGTCTGCGAAGACCGAAAAGATTATCTTCATTCGCACCTTCAAAAGGCTCAGCCGCAACGTCATCAATAAAAACACTCCTACCGCCAGATTGCCCATCAAGGGCTTCTCTCCACCGGACCTCTGTAACACGATTTTCATGGAAATCATCAACATCATCATCGTCATCGTCATTGTCGTCAATAATGTCATCATTATATTCATCTCCAAGACCAGTATCCTCAAGATCTTCCATATCAGTTTCAGCAAGAGACATAACTCTGGCTCCATTTTGTACCAAACCTTCGTCCTCATCATCTCCCCCATCATCTTCATCATCCTCGCCATCATCTCCCAAGTCATCATCCACATCATGTTCAGTGCTATTCTCAACATGAAAAGTCATTTCGATTTGATCTGTGTTGTGTAACACCCCACCTTCAATTTCTTCACGCATGAAATCCATCTGAATAGGTTCTGAGGGCATTGTCTCATCTACCTCTATCCTCATCTCCTGAGGCGTAGAATGGGTTTGCCTCGAATCATGATCACCTTCACTTTGAAGCAGCTCCTGACCATTCGGTGTTGCATCCGTTACTTCTCGTTGGCTGCTACTGTGTTGGTTATGCTCATCAACTTCAGCCTCACTTGAAGTTTCATGATTATCATGTCTCCCATTTGAATCTGTGCCTTTTTTCTTGTTTAAGATTTCCGATCTGAGAACCTGATCAGTAGCATTTGCCACTCTTGTTAATGTCTCGAGAGACTTCAGAATAAAAGCCACAAGACTTGGAGCATCGGGGTGGTCAAGATCGACCAATTGAAGAACATCTGTCAAACACTGGATGACTCCCCCATCTATCATGCTCTTCGCCACATCAGGTGAGCAACCAGACCCAGGTAAGTTGCTGGAAGATGAATTCTTCGACAAGATAAAGAACACTAAATCAGTAAAAGCAAGAACCTTTTTATCAGGTGATAGAAAATTCTTGCTAGAGTTTCTTCCTGACACTGAAAATGAAGATAAAATCTTTACGAGCTCATTGATTACTCTTTTGCGCCCTTCACTGGAACGGCTGCACAGAACAACCACAAACCAGGAAGCCTTTTCAGACAATTTCTCCCTCCACTCACCAGGTCCAGCATGTTTATCTATAGATATAGGAAGTAGGTGATGAATAATATGATAAAGTATCCCTCCATGTCCAGGAGAATCATCAGGTTTACTGGATCCTCGGAGCTGTGATAAATCTGCATCTCGTTTCAGTATGACACTGGTTGCATGTACATACATGAGAACCATATCACTCAACAGCTTAAGGATAAAAGTTGCCCTTGCCAACCCTTCAGATTTCTCGAACTCAGACTCGGGTTTTCTACCATCACTGACTTTTGATTTACCCTTCAATTTAGAGGTAGGCTCGTCCACCACCATCATATTCAAATTGGTTTCATCATCTTCCTGCCCCTTCACCCAGGGGAATCTCAATACAATGTCAATAAGTTGATCGATTACTTGGGTGAAATTAGCAGGGACCCTTGTACGGCTTTTTGCACATTTTCCTGACTCATCATGAGGCTTATTTTCAGAAATTCTGAGAGGTCCAGTTGACGAAAAACCGTGATCACTGACAGAAACTTCTGGTTTTTCTTTTTCCTTTGACAACACCACAAATTCCCTCCCTCCTGATGACTCCAGCTGACAAGTTGAAGCCACAGCTTTCATGAAAACCACAGGATCTCTTGCCACTACAGGTGCCATTGTTGTCAAGAATGTACGAGATAATATCCGCCCAACATGTCTCTTGCCACTCAAGGTCTGTCGTATTTCTGTTTCCATAGCAATTTGAAGGGTCTGAGGATCTTCAACAAGATGCCGTAAAATAACAGCTGTAAGAGTATCATACCCACGGAAAAAACACTCTTT